CCCCCTCCTCCCCCACCCCACTATCTCTCTCTCTTCTCTCCCCTCTTCTCCACCCATCTCTCCTCTCCTCCCCTTTTTCTTTGCTCCCCCCAACCGGTCGATGCAGATGATCGTCCACATTGAGTCTGGTTCTAGAGGTTTCTCCCTGTTAATGAGGGAGTTTCTCCTCCACAGTCTCCAAAGTGCTGCTCATTGTGGGAACTGTTGGGTTTCTCTATATTAATAAGATTTTAAGGTTTTGACCTTCTATGTAAAGTGCCTTGAGATAATGTATATTATGATTTGGCGCTATACGAATAAAATTGAATTGAATTGAACTGAATTAATGCCACGGTGTGGGGTGTTGGTAGTAATGGATCCCCCTATCAATTAATCTTTTCATGTCCCAGGTGTTTTGGGGATAATAATGTACAAAGGTGTTACAGAGGGCAAAATGGCCTGGCTTTGTTTGATCTGCCCTCAGTATCTGCAGTCCCAGAGTCTGTTGTGCAGGCATTGCAAAAGGGCTATAATAGAAGTTTTCTGGAAGCTGGTGAAAGGAGAACTCAGGCAGCAGCTGATTTCTTATGCAGAAGATTTTAATGTAGACTTGATGCATCAAGGAGACCAGAAGGTACAACAATATACAAACGCTAACAGAGTAACATGAGCAATTGTCACCCTCAAGTCTGACGATGTCTCCCACAGCATCCCCATATATCTCCCTCTACCTGCATTATCCATTCTAACAGCAAATGAAGTTGGTGAGAGATAAAGTTGGTGCCTCTCTGTCTGGGGAATCTGAGTTAGATATGAAAGTCTCTAAGCATAGACACCACAATGCACTGTTGGTTGGTCCCTTATCTATAACCTGACCTTGGTTGTTGCTCCGAGAGATAAGTATCTGTGAATTAGACAGGCACTATTCTCTTGTACAGATATAATGTAATATACAATATATATAGTGGCATATACAGTAATGTGTGAGGATGGTGCTCTTCCACTATGGACCTGGTTATTGGGTACAACCAGGTCCCAGTCAGTGAGGGAGACAGACCCAAGACTGCATTCTGCAACCCATTTGTTTTTTTTTGAGTGGAACAGCATGCCCTTTGGACTGTTTAATGCCATTCACCTTCCGGAGATTAATGCAACACCTGTTTGGTGACCAGAAAGGCCAATCATTGCTTCTCTACCTTGATGACATTGTGGTTTTCTCTTCCTCAGTAGAACAGCATCTGGAAAGGACGGAGGTGGTGTTGAGTCAGCTTCAAGAGGAAGGCTTGAAAGCAAAGCGTTAATTTTTCCAACAAGAGGTGCGTTACTTGGACCATGTGATCTCTGACAATGGTCCCTAAACAGATCCAAGCAAGGTAGAAGTGGTAGCCAACTGGAAGTCTCCCAACTTCTGTTGGTGGGAATGTTTTTATATTTCATCCTGAATGCCTACACTCAATGTCTTACAGACACTAACTCTAATTCAGCAGAATCATACAAAGACAATCTAATGGCTTTGGGGAGAATTTCTAAATTCATTATCAGTGAGTAACAAGTCCATTTCAGAAATTGAGTGCATATGTAGACTATAATTGTCACGATCTAAGGAGCGGATGGACCCAAAAATGCAGAAGCAAAAACCTTTGACAAAAAGTAAAGGGAACCAAGATCAGGGCTGACAAAAAAATCCTCCAACAGAAAAGCACTAAGAAAACTAGAAGAAGATCTCAAAAAGGCTAAACTGAAAAACATAGAAAAAAACTGAAGAAACACTAGGAACTCACGAGTGAAGGAGCGAGGGTGATGACATGAGCCGACATGAGGAAGACCAGGATTGACAACCATGAAACGACGACAGGGTGCTGAGACAACCACATAAGATACGACAACGAACCGACAGCACAGAGACTTAAATACACACTGAACTGATGACAAACTAGAGACAGGTGACACAGGACAAACGTGAAACTAATCAAGGCAGGACGTCAAGGTAAAAAAACCCACAAGCAGCAGAAAATAAAACAGGAAAGACGGTGAAACACAAATCTAAACAGAATGAAACACAGAGTGGGACACAGCAAACACAGAGTTACTGTTAACAAATCTGAAAACAAGGAAAACACACCAGGAGCAACACCACAACATAAAACTGAAAACACAAATCCAAACATAAGGAAAGCACAGGTATAGCTAAACATATAATAAACAAGAAGAACATAATCAAAATGAAAACACTCTTCATGAAAGAGGCAAAAAGTCCAGAGTCATGACAATAATTCACCTTTGGCATATTTTACATGCTCTTACCCGTTTATTAGAGATTAGACACACTGATCAGAGAACTGAGACATGGGAAGATAGTGTCTCAGATTAGAAAAGTGTCCTCAGGATGTACATCTCCTCTGTTGAAATGTGGTGCCACATAGAAGGCAGCTCCACATGATTCTCACCAAGAGGAGTGAGGAGCTGAACTTGGTGTTCAAGCTCAGAGTGGACGAGTTTGATTATATTATCTTTGTTACATCAAACAACACAAAGTGTTTCAGCTGTGGAAAGGAAAGACATCAAATGAAAGCATGTCCACAGAAAAATAAAGCAGCTGTCAGTCAGGAAGGACAGGAGGAGACAAGAGGGGTCCAACAGGCCTGTGAGTGATATTAATGGAGTGAGACGAGGAGCTGCTTAAAGTTCCTCGTCTGAAAAGAAAAACCAGGAGCAACAGTGGAAGCTCACAAAGAAAGGGACAGTGAAGGAAGGAGTTCTGACACTGTTGCCCAAAAAAAGACATCCAAGACATAAAAAACTGGCGACAGGTGTCTCTGCTGTGCACAGATTACAAACTGCTCTCAAGGGTCCTGGCGAACAGGTTGAAAAAGGTGATGGACCAGATCATTGACTGGACCCAAACCCACTGTGTGCCTGGCAGGTCCATTGTTGACAATGTGTCACTGATTAGAGATATTTTGAAACTCTCTGGTTCATTGGGCATCGGTGCTGGTCTGGTTTCTTTGGACCAAGGCACCTGGGGAGCAGAGAAGCAGCTTTCAGGCAACAGTTCATACAAAGTCTGATAACTAGCCACAAGCACCATTTTAAGGGGAGTAGCAGATCTTGGTTTAGATGCATCTTTCTTTTTAATGAACTGTGATTTTATCTGTTTATGTGACCTTCCTCCATTTTATCAGGGACTGTTCAAACATGGACTCCTTTTAAGTGGAACAGACTGGAACCTGCAGCTTCACTGTTTTGGCTCCTAGATGAGCCTCTGATCCACGGAGCCATGCTGAATGTTCAGGATAACAGCAGATCTGGTCTCATCTCGCTCTCTCTCACTCTCTCTGCTTGAGTTTGTTTGTTGTTTATTGTGACTCCCGACTCCTGACCTTTATGCTGTCCTAATTACCATATTTTCCCTTGCATTATAAACTTCTAGGAAGCTGAATTAAATGCTAAAACTGATTAAAGTGGCATATTAACCTGGAAAGATTAAAGTAATGTAACAACATTAAACTCAATAAGATTTCAACTGTTTTTTTTTTTTATCAGAAAACAAGATACAAAATTTTGCGGAGTTCAGAGTAAACTATAGCAGGTTATTTTCATGTTTTCTTTCATTCTCACCTTGTTGGCCTCCTTAACAGAACTAAGTGTTGCTGCTAGTTAAACAAACACAAGTGATCAAATGTAGCATTGTGGTTGATAAGCCTTTTTCTGTCCACATAAACAAACGCACCTGTAAGACCTAATCCTGAAAATATATTAAATTTACAAATTGTATCCAGTACAGCATTCTTAATGGAATGAGCCATGGATCAAATAACAATTCAGTTTGCAANGAGTAAACATATAAACATATACACATTACCACAACATAAAAGTGTTACAAATCTGATGTTGTATGTGCCTAACATCAGAGTGGGTATTGTGCACCTTTTCCACTAGGCCAGAATGTTTGTACATTTAGAAGACATAAGTTACGTCAATTTAATGGCAGATGTGCTCCGCTAATTATGTGGGCCGGTCTGAGCCAAAAAATGCCCGGGCCGTTTTGTTCTCCCAGTCCAGCCCTGCATTTACCCCATTATTTTCATGCAAAGCATGTGGGGTAATAATAATAGGAAGCTGGATAAATGCTAAAACTGATTAAAGTAGCATATTCACATGTCTTAACCCTGTCCGTCTGTTTCTGTGTGCCACTACATGTACATATTTTAACCTGGAAAGATTAAAGTAATGTAACAGCATTAAACTCAACAAGATTTGAACTGTTTTGTATAATCAGAAAAAAGATAAAAATTCAGGAATTCAGAGTAACCTATAGCAGATTATTTTCATGTTTGTGATCAAATGTAAGATTGTGGTTGATAATTATTTTTCTGTCCATGTAAAAAAACACCTGTGAGAACTAGTCCCTTTTTAATCCTGGTAAAATTTTAAATTTACAAATTGTATCCAGTTCAGCATTCTTAATGGAATGAGCCATGGATCAAATAGCAATTCATTTTGTAGTTTTGTAAAAGACTGCCTTAGATTATTTAGTTCTCCTTTGAATTTGTCCTTTTACAAGAGGTGGGAAAATGGAAATAAGCTGTGCTTCATCACATTGTACATATGTTGCTATTATTTTTTGTGGCTTCTCAATCTATATGGTTATCTTTTTAATTTAAGCACATAAATATGGTTTCATTAATAAAGTATAAAATACACTCATCACACTAATTACATATTAAATAAGGGCACCCCATGGAAATTGAGATAAAATTGAGGACATCAGTGACTTTCTCCATTAATTCCACCTGTTATGATGGAAAATGCAACAAACGTCTGTTTTCCCACTGATAATGCTTTGGGGGTATTTCTGTCTCATATCTGTTTAAATGTAATGAGACTGATAAGYGTGCCAGCTCTGCTGACACTACAYGTTTTACTGGACTCAGATAATCCATATTTGGTCCAACCAACAAACCTGAACATCTATAAAAGCCTGGAGCCAAACTACAGATACACAAGTCCACATAGAGGATCATAGGTGAGCTAGGCTGCTAATGTCTACAMCYGAATCAAAGTTTGATTGTTTGGTTTTGATTCAGTTTTTACACTGAGGAGAAACTAGCTCAATGCTGTCTTTTCCCTGCAGGTCTGCTGGGATGTCTATCATGTCTGGTTTAACGATCTCAGCTCTAACTCTACTGCTTCTGTCTGCCTGCTGTTGGGCCAGCAATGAGGTAAGACCGTACAAAGGCCCATTTAATCACAGTATACATGTTATAACTTGTTTAAAGCTGCATATTGTTTTTTAGTTAGTCTCAACCATGATAGGCCTCCTGTGTCACAGAAGAAGTCTGTCATCTGTCAGTCACAAAAAAGTTGTTWATTCTCTTATTTGAGGTTAAGTCTTTATTTTAAGTGAAAGCTGAATATTTYTGACACAGAGTGGCCTTTTTGCATCTGTAGACTGTTGTTTAACTKTACAATAAACTTAGGTTCTATTATGCTAAGTTGGCATCTCTTAACCTCCCATCTTTATTATTTTTAATTTGAGACAATTTTTTGGTTATTTGTACGTCTTTTGATTGTAATTCCATATTGTTTTTCTAATAACTCAACATGTTTGTTTCTTCTTTCCTACTTGCAGGCAGGTATGTACAATCAGACCTATTGTATTGATATGTACTGTATAAGGACTGGTGTATTTTTCTGCAAAATAAAATTKTGTTGCTGCTGCTGATTTCATTGAGCASAGGAGATTACAGAAGTGGACTCAGGGGATCTTTCAGTCTCTGAACTTCTAGAGAGAGCCAACAATAATCTGASTGAGTGTGAGCTGATGAGTTTCATGTAGACTGTTGATGCTTACATTTCTTCAACTCATAATTTATTAGTGATACCTTAACAGGTATTTAAGTAATYGATTATGTTATATGATGTGTTTTAGTCCGCTCCAACAATGATCCCATCCTGATTGGAGGAGACATTGCCATTGGCAGCGAGGCAGAGAAAAATGCTGACCCCTGCACCAGCCGAGGCTGCATGTGGGGCAAGTGGAGTGACGGGAAGGTCTACATTCCTTATTACATCACTAATCACTTCTGTGAGTATCAGATAAAAACCTGTGAGTCAAACTGCAGGTGGTCGCTSGTGTCAAAAGGTTTGAGTGATCAAACCAGCATGTTGGCTGCCAATTTGCCTGTGAACTCATGTTTAGCATCACTCTTGTCCTCTGGAGTCATGACTTGAATGACTACATTTTTAAAGACGGATTATTTAAAATCCAAACRACAGTCAGGATAAAATCAAATTGAATAAGGATTAATGAAAAACTGTGAATTAAAGTGCTAAGCAATTGTCCAAACAGCATTCTTAGGTATATTTTTGACAACATCCTTGAATCTTTGGTCTGTGCTCAACAACTTTACTCATATACCTTATTGGCCCAAATATGARCACCCTAATAATGAAATACCCACCCAAAGTTTTCTCAATAWMTTAGAATATAATATTACCTACTGGACCGTGGACCGAATCATAATGCAGATTTCCATGAGCTATGTACTGAAATAGTTGCCCTGCTTAAAGGCAACATAAACATCAYAGCACATGCATGGTTCTGTCAGCACATTGCCTACTTAATTTAGTTGGGTTGGGTTTTATTTAGAATGTAACTATGTTAAGTACATTTGTACATACAAGAGTTTTG